GTCATTACATCTATTCAAGAAGTCATCTATTCAAGAAGACATCTATTTCAAGAAGTCGTCTGAAAAAACTTTTTTATTTGACAAATTTCGTCTATAGTAGACTATTTCTATGTATTCAAGAACATTACCAATTCACTGTTTATTTTAAGAACAAAGTATTACAATGTCACAACGCTTCCAATTGAATGCATATGGTCTGGTATTTTATAATATTTATACTTATCAAATGACACCGCTATGCAGAGACGATAGCAAATGCGCGCGTGTCTCGATCATTCATGATTAAGTACCTGATGCAATTCGCAATGTAAGCTTAACGCTTTGTTATATATTCTATTCCTTATTCAATTTTCTACCCGACTACGTCGAAAAAAAAAGGAAGGTAAGGAATAACGGGTATTGATAAAAACAATGAATGTTTCAAATATAATTTATTAATAAAACGTATCTACATTTTTACAACATTGTGTAACCATTACTAGAGTCTGTTGTTAGAGGCGACATAATTTTATCTATAATATCTTTTGTTGAGTGGTAAATGTCATCCAATAAAATGTTTCTCACCGCGTATTGCACACACAAATCTGCTTCACATTTACACATTTGGTCACTATTCTGTATTTGATCAGTATCATAGATCTCTATTTTAATAACCTTGCTCGCACCACTCCGAAGTCGCTTTTTTATATATGTATAACATGTAGTCTTTTCGGATTTTCTTTTGCGTCCCAATCCGAGCCGCGTTCCATTTGGAGATAAATCTCTTTGTGATGCAGCGCTGGGCACGAAGTTGAATAATTGATCTCCGGAATCCTTAAAACAAGTTGAAAGTAAGTATTAATTACACATCCTCAATTCATTGTTAATATTAAAATTATTTATTTATTTATTATATTTACAGTATATAAAACCTGTACAGGTTTCTCAACAAATTTAATCTAAAGAAAATTAAAAATAAATTTTGGTTAACTTACCGACATTTTATGACAACTTCACAAGAAAATAAGTTTTTTAATAATGATTATTTTACTCCCAATTTACCCGTTTATATTGAGTGAAGGCAGTGCTAATAGGGTTCAAAATTAACATCGTACTTACTGTATTTTTTATTCAATACTCATCAATAAATCTAATATGGAGTGCTCGACGCCGAGAGTAAAAATGACTCCGTTTGTGTTTACTTCCATTTATGATTACTCGACTACAGCGGAGCGAACAGGAGGGTTATGATTTCAGCAGCATACCTAAGTGTATGTATCTAAGTGTGTATGTATTCATCTGTTCTATCACTGAGCCAAAACTGCTAAAACGATTCCAAGTTATGAGGTATCGTTACATTGAACTCAATTATGCCGATTATTTAGGTATCTACATCATATACTTATATAGTCTAAAAAATAAGAACCTTTCGTTTCAACATACCTTTAAAAGATCTCTTCAAATATATCATATAGAACATGATGCAGCAAGTGTGATGTAGTACAATATTTATAAAGATTTTTATGATGAACACCCATGCCCAGCAGTGGGACGTGTAACAGTGTTGATGATATGATATGACTAGTAGTTTTGATACCAATGTTTCGTTGCCGGGGTTTAATTTTGTAACTTTTGTATTCGTAGTATTAAGTGAATTGTTGTATGAAAAATTCTGTAAGCAGGTATATTTTCAATAAAATTATGTTATTAAGATTAATGATAATACAAAATGATACATCGCACACTCAATTCTATCATTTATTTAGTAAGACAAAATTATAGTTCTTATTGCATAAAGAAGAAGGTTGAAATTATACAATCGATTTATTAAGCAAAGAAAAACATTTACAAATGCAAAATATCCAATCAATATTTCACATTTTATTTTTATGCTACCTTATCCACTTAGAATTAGAATCGATATTAGAATTAACTTACCGATGATTGCTGCATATCATACTGAGTATTTGTTTTTGCATTTATGTTGACTGTGCATTTTCCTATTTTGCTTCATATACAAATTACAAATATGGGTAAACGTGACGCGTATGAAGGCCTATATAGACCGGTCCTCTCTATCCATGATTATTGCTCAGATCACCTTCCTACAAGACAACAGGACAGCTCAAAAAAACAAATCAACCACTGCAAATAACTAAGAACAATGTAAGTGCATTTTAAGTACTAAAATAAATTTATGTTACATAACCGTGCCATCTATTCGAACTATTCATCAATTATAATTAATTATCTATTTTATTCCATTATTTTTTTTCGGACTATTTATTTTTAAGTCCAAATCCGAATCTATTTACTGTGATGAAGAGTCGCGGGTTCGAATCCTGCTGGGGAGCAAAATTAGTGACAAGTACAAATGCGCATACTCGATTCCAAAATGTTTAATATTTTACCTGTGCTTATTTTATCGTTGTCCTAGTTTTACTAATCATTCGATCAGTTTTTGTGAGTTCACTGTCGCAAGATATTATTACCAAACAATTTATGTTTTTATTCAATCATTTTACTATGTACTACTCATATATTTTATTCTATTAGGTCTTTGGCACAAGATTTATTCCTGTCAGAAGACGAGTGCGAGACGGTGCAGCCTAAGCTCTCGAAATCCTCGAAGAAGCATTCGAGATGTGACCCTTCGACAAGTAAGAAGACAGGTGAGCCGTTCACTACCACTGCGCCTAAGAAAAGGAAAACCGTCATCAACCCAATCACCCCCGTCATGAAGGCGGCGACGGCTGAGCTTTTCGGCAGCGAGAGTGATGAAGAAGAAGGGTGCTCGACAGGTTCAACAAAGGGTACGCCAATTTACTCTTACGTTACGCGAAAGCTAGCAAATGGGATAAGTCGTCAAACAGACGACAATAAAACTGGCACTCATTACGTTGAGTTAAAAGTTTATTCATGCAACGAGATCAAAAACGTTGCACCGATAAATAGATGGCGTCATAGTATTATTACTATAAAAAACAGAACGAACGTCAACTCTGAAGCTTGGGCACATCTAACAGATTACATAAAGACAACTCGCAAAGAATTCAAAAATTGCCCACCCTCATTTAATAGTACTTACTATTAGCATTATTTTTACTGGCCTGTATTGTAGTAATTAAATGTGTTTAACTATAAATATATATGAATAAGTAAATAAATATATTATTTTATTCTTAATTTGTAATCTTTTTACTTTACAGCGACATCCTGTGTAGCCAATGCGGTCAAGTGTGACATGTGCAACATCGAAATTCCTCAAAAGAAATATCATTATCATATGAGAACGAATGTACACAAAGAGAATTGTTTATTAAAAACTGAATTCAAAAATATTGACATTATTAAGACTGCATTTAAGAACAGAATTGTGACTTACCGCATAAATCCTGCACAGGAAGTCGAGTACCTCACACCCGAGGCGTTCCTGTACAGTTATAAAAATGATGTTTCGAATGTTATCCATTTATCAATACTGAAACACACATGTCTGAAGTTAAATTTTGAACTGTTTGCTTATTTTGAGTTACCACGGTCAAGTACGCAACAGTTAAAATCTTTTAATACAAAGTTTGATTGCGTTTTTAACAACACTAATATTAATGAGTTGTATATGAATGCTATAGAAACATTTAAACAAAAACTTTCAGAATTTGAACACTGTGAATCTGGTTGGTCTCTGGTTTCAATAAGTCATTTAGAATTGAATATAAACAAATATTGTCCTATGAGAGGTGGTACGTTCATAGAGCTGCCATCATTTCTCAAGAATAGTAAAAGTTGCATAAATATACAGAATAAAGATGAGTACTGTTTTCTATGGAGTATAGTAGCTGCATTATTTCCCGCCAAAAGTAATGTATGCAAAACAAGTTCATATCCTCACCATTCAACTGTCTTTAAAACAGACGGTATGACTTTCCCTCCGTCGTGTAAAGATATACAATTGTTTGAAGCTAATAATAACATCAGTATCAACATTTATGGATTAAGTTCAAGCAGTTTAGTAACTGGTCCATTATATTTATCTAAAAATCGAAAGAACAATCATGTAAATTTATTATACTTTGAAAAAGGAGTCAAAGGTCATTACTGCCTTATTAAAGATCTTGTACGATTAGTAAAACGTCAGATTAGTAAATTTAAAGGGAATCTATATATGTGTGAGAATTGTTTACGTTTTTTTTCTTCTGAAATTAAATATACAAACCATGATTGCTCTCAAGTGTTGACAGTCTTACCTAAAAAAAATAGTACAATCGGATTTAAACATTTTGAGAGACAGCAAAAAATTTATTTTGTTATATATGCTGATTTCGAAAGTCTATTAGTTAACTGTACAGAGAATGGTAGCGAAAATACACGTAATTTAAAAGTTCATCAACCTTCATGTTTTGCGTATTATATTTGTTGTTCATATGACTCGAGTTTAAACAAGTTCGTTACCTACAGGGGTTCGGATTGTGTAGAAGTGTTTGTTAACAGATTGATTGCAGATGTGAAATGCCTTTATAAAATATTATGTGATAAGAATCCAATGACGCCTTTGACGAAAGAACAAGAAAATAGTTATCAAAACGCTACATCGTGTCATATTTGTAGCCATTTATTATTCGATGACAAGGTTCGTGACCACGATCATATTACTTCTGAATATAGAGGGCCAGCTCATTCACAATGTAATTTGATGTTCAGAGTGTGTCCATTCATACCAGTAGTCTTTCATAATTTAGCTAACTATGACTCACATTTGTTTATTAGCGAATTAGCAAAATACTATGGTCCAATTACAATTATACCGAAAACTAAAGAAAAGTACCTCACAATTACAAAGACCATACATTTAAAAGAATTTACACGTCCATTACAAATAAAATTTATAGATTCATTTCAGTTTTTGAGCACAAGTTTAGACATGTTGAGTAACAATTTATCAGATGAAGATTTCACCAATTTATCCATGCAATTTAAAAGCAAGCATTTGCATTTATTAAAATCAAAAGGTATTTATCCGTACGATTACATGGATTCTTGGAATAGATACGAAGAAACTAAACTTCCTTCAAAAGAATTTTTTTTTAATAATTTGAAAATGGAACATATAAGTGATAAAGACTTTAATCATGCACATTCTGTGTGGAATGTATTCAATATTAATACTCTCGGTGAATATACCGATTTGTACCTTAAATGTGACGTTTTATTGTTATGTGATGTATTTGAAAATTTCAGAAACTTGAGTTTAAAATATTACAAATTAGATCCAGCCTATTACGTAACATCACCGAGCTTGAGTTGGGATGCTATGCTGCTTTCGACAGGCATTGAACTAGATTTGATAGATGATTTGGAAATGTATCAAATGTTAGAAAAAGGAATACGCGGAGGATTGGTTCAGTGTTCATTACGACACGCTAAAGCCAATAATAAATA